CCCAGCAGACACGCCCATGACTGAGCTGACAGGATGACTGAACTATGCTCTCACTCCTAAATCCTTGTCTACACTAGTGCTAAACAAGTTCAGCTCCACAGGTGTTCAGGATGTTAGAGGTCCTAGTGCAGACTGGCCACCACAGGCATTTTCAATTCCAAACTGATTAGGCCTGCTCTGAGTAGGGTTATAAAACATGGCATTAAAAACACCAGTAGCAATCTACACTAGGGCTATTAGTGTTGCTGACCCTTTTGGAGATCAACTAGTGCCAGCAACGATGGGAAATTTTCTCTTGCACACACAGCATCCTAGATGCGATCCTTTCAGGCGAGGGTTGAGGTGTGGGCATGCTGGCCTTCGATGTATTTGTCCTTTCACAAGCACTAAATTCACACTGTAAAAATATAATTTGCCTTATTTTCTATAGTAATTAAATAAATATGTCTATCTTGTTCCCACAGGTCCCATCCCAGGTTCTTCTCCTCCTCTCTGTCTGAAAATTATGACTTCCTTTTGGGTTCGGCTTCTGAATTTTCTATGCTTTTGCTTGCTTTCTTTTTTATTTTCTCACTTTTTCCTCTTACATGCCTGCCTCTCTCTCTTCTCCTCAAATTTCTGTGTTCTGGATCTCCATTAGTTCTCCCCCACTTTTCAATCCCTATTCTTTTTCCCCTTGCCCATCCCAAATCTCTCCCCTCTTCCCAAATGTTTCTCCTCAGCTAGCCGGAAGACTTTTTCAGTGCTGACTGAACTAAATAATTACATATTATCTGCAAGTTTTGCCATCTCACTGCTCCTGCTTTTGAAGATAATTAGCAAGTATATTAAACACAATATATATGGTCCTGGTCCACAAGGCACTTTCATGTCATTTTTGCCATGATGAACATTGACCATTTAGTCCTATTTTTTGTTTTCTGTCACTTATCTATTTTCTGATCCATGACAGAATGGCCTTTCAGTCCATGACTTCTGAGATTCCTTAATAATGTCTTGTAAGGCCCTTCTAGAAATTTCAAATAAATTATGTTAGCTAGTTTTTCTTTATCCATTATTGCACTGACATGTTAAAGAATTTTAATAGATTTGTGAGGTATAATTTTCCTTTGTAGAACTATGCTGGTTAGACCCTATTATGTAAGAATAATTTAAGTGTTTTATCATTCTATTTTCAAATGACCATTTACACTAATTTATCAGGTAAGCAAGTAAAACTTAGGCCATATCTACACTACCACATATGTCAGCAAAACTTGTCGCTTAGGGGTGTGCCCCTGACATAACTACTGCCTGTGGTTTAAGTATGTTGATGGAAGAGCTCCCTTCCGTTAGCACAGAGCGGCTACATGAGAAATCTTATTGGTACAGCTGTGCTGCTGTACAGTCTAGTGTAGGCATAGCCTTACCGATCTGTAATTCCCCAGACCTTTAAAAAAAAAAAGAGATGCAACATTTACTATCCTCCAATCCTCTGGTGTGATTTTAATTAGAAGTGGCCTCTTGTGAGCTGCTCAGCCTATTCATTCTTAAATTCCATAGTACATTTAGATGCTTACCACCTAGTCTTCACTGCCCTTTAATTTATCAGTTTGTTCTAGTGCCCCTTCTTTAAACACCTCAACCTCTTACAGTTTCTAATTTTTATTACCAGAAAATGTAGGTGTGGGTTTAGTTATTGCATATGGCCAGGAGGATTGTACTTTCCAAAACCTCCCACAGGCTGACACAGCAAACAGACATCCTGAATAAGAACATTCTCCAAATAAGATTTTTTACACCACCACCTCATATTGTCCATAACTGAGGTAGATTTGCACAGCTGAAGGAAAACAGAAAACAAATAAAATCTTCATTATACTGAGAAACCAGCAAAAACCTCTTTGAACTTTGTCTGTAGCATAAGATGTGGCAATAGTCCTCGTTAAAGCGAAAATGCTGTGTCAAGTACTCAGTCTAAACAGCTCGGGGCTGAGAACTATTTACACTGCATGGTATATGATTACATGGGACACAAACATTTTGCAAGAGAAAACAAAATGCTCAAACTAGAGCTATCAAGCGATTAAAAAAAATAATCACGATTAATCACACTGTTAAACAATAACAGAATACAATTTATATAAATATTTTTGGATGTTTTCCACATTTTCAAATATATTGATTTCAATTACAACACAGAATACAAAAAGTGTACAGTGCTCACACATTTATTCTTTATTATAAATATTTCCACTGTAAAAAAAGATTAACAAAAGAAATAGTATCTTTCTATTCACTTCATACAAGTACTGTAGTGAATGAATGTGCAACTTACAAATGTAGAATTATTATTTTTTTACATAACTGCACTCAAAAACAAAACAATGTAAAACTTGAGAACCTACAAGTCCACTCAGTCCTACTTCTTGTTCAGCCAATCGCTCAGACAAACAAGTTTGTTAACATTTGCAGGAGATAATGCTGCCCGCTTCTTGTTTACAGTGTCACATGAAAGTGAGAACAGATGTTCGCATGGCACTGTTGTAGCCGGCACTGCAAGATATTTACATGCCAGATGCGCTAAAGATTCATATGTCCCTTCATGCTTCAACCACCATTCCAGAGGACATGAATCCATGCTGAGGATGGGTTCTGCTCGATAACGATCCAAAGAAGTGCAGACCAACGCATGTTCATTTTCATCATCTGAGTCAGATGTCACCAGCAGAAGGTTGCTTTTCTTTTGTGGTGGTTCAGGTTTTATAGTTTCCACATTGGAGTGCTGCTCTTTTCAGCCTTCTGAAACCATGCTCCACACCCCGTCCCTCTCAGATTTTGGAAGGCACTTCAGATTCTTAAACCTTGGGTCAAGTACTGTAGCTATCTTTAGAAATCTCACATTGGTACCTTCTTCGCTTTTTGTCAAATCTGCAGTGATCGTGTTCTTAAAACGAACAACATACTGGGTGATCATCCAAGACTGCTATAACATGAAACATATGGCAGAATGCAGGTAAAACACAGAACAGGAGACATACAATTATTCCTCCAAGGAGTTCAGTCACAAATTTAATTAACACATTTTTTTTTTAACGAGTGGAATCAGCATGGAAGCATAGTGGCCAAAGCATGGAAGGAGCATGTGAACGTTTAGCATATCTTGCACATAAATAACTTGCAATGCCGGCTACAAAAGTCCCATGTGAATGTCTGTTCTCACTTTCAGGTGACTTTGTCAATAGGAAACGAGCAGCATTATCTCCAGTAAATGTAAACAAACTTGTTTCTCTTAGCAACTGGCTGCACAAGAAATAGGACTGAGCAGACTTGTAGGCTCTAAAGTTTTACATTGTTTTGTTTTTGAGTGCAGTTATGTAACAAAAAAAAATCTACATTTGTAAGTTGCGCTTTCACGATAAAGAGATTGCCCTATGGTATTTGTATGAGGTGAATTGAAAAATACTATTTCTTTTATCATTTTTACAGTGCAAACATTTGTAATAAAAATAATATAAAGTAAGTACTGTACAGTTTATAGTCTGTGTTGTGACTGAAATCAATATATTTGAAAATGTAGAAAAACATCCAAAATATTTAATAAATTTCAATTGGTATTCTATTATTTAACAGGGCCATTAAAACTATGATTAATCACTATTAATTTTTTTAATCGCAATTGATTTTGAGTTAATCACGTGAGTTAATTGCAATTGATCGACAGCCCTAGCTCAAACAGAAATGTAGGCATACACACATGAATGTATACATACACACACACACACACACGTGCAATTTTAAACAGAGCATCAGACATAAAGATCTAGTAAGCACCACAGCAGATTACAGGTGTAATTGGCCTTAGCAGCAAATAAACTCATTATGTCACGATGGATAGGAAGCTTTGTTGAGTGAGATGATCTGTGGCTGGATAGCCAAAGACTGGAAATGGCAAATGACATAGTCCAATACCACGCTGAAGAGTACTGATCTCTTAAAAACGTAACATTCAAGGAAGAGGTTGTTCTGCTGCCACTAGATAAAAAACATTTTCAACAATTTACAAAGAATACAAAGGTCTCTAAATTTTTACCCACATACAGCACAAGGCTTGGAAGAAAAATCATTCACATATTCTTCAAAAACAAAATTATTTCACATGCAGATGTTTCATGGAACACTGCAAAATTTCCTAACTTGTCTATTAAGGAGAGGCAGTAAATAATTTAAAAGAATACCAGAGACTGACCATGTATTCTTTAAACTTTCATCTTTTCTGTAACTTAATTTCCTCTTGTCTTAATTCAGTGTCTATATAAAGAACAACAGTTTTGTCTGATATAGCAAACAGCTGGAAAATGGAGACAGGGATAGAGGGCATGGCTGGGACTACTCAAAGTTCAGTTCACAGAGAATTATTTCCCAGTGACAAGTGTCCTGCTCTTTTACTTTCTCTTAATCACAAATTGAATTCTCAAAGACAAAGATCTATTTGTTATTCACAGGAAAATCCACTAAATAAACATCTGCTTTATCTATAAACAACTTACACATACTTTCGTGCCCATGAATACCAGCCTTTCAGTTAACACACTTTTTCCGATATGAGGCTTCTGTATATCTTGACTGCTCATCATAGAATCATAGAATATCAGGGTTGGAAGGGACCTCAGGAGGTCATCTTGTCCAACCCCCTGCTCAAAACAGGACCAAATCCCCAATTTTTGCCCCAGATCCCTAAATTGCCCCCTCAAGGATTGAACTCACAACCCTGGGTTTAGCAGGCCAATGCTCAAACCACTGAGCTATCCCTCCCCCCATATAAAAGCTTCTTGCGATTTCTATCCATTCACTCCTAGCTCTTTACAACTTATATTGCTTCGCTTCCAAAAAATGGTGCGAGAAGGTGCAGGGTATCAACTCTCCCCAGTTACAAACCTATGTGGCCTGGAAAGAACTGAAAAGATCCCTGGTACTCGAAAGGCTCTTCTATGTACTCTGTAGACAGTTGGTAGTCTTACCCTTCTGCGCAATCTGTCCCTTTCTTCCCGGATAGCGTTCATAGTGGCCTTGGTCCTGTTCAGCTCCTCCTCTTTGCTGCACAGCATAGCAGTGAGGCTCTCATTTTCTTCCCTCAGACCAGCCAGCTCCTTTTCCCACCGAGATCTCTCTTCAGACAGATTTGGATAAAGATCCCGTCCCAGCACACCCTCAATCTCCTCTACTGTCTGCAAAAACAGAGTCATGATAAGACAGAAAGGAGCAGAAGGGGAGAATATTAAAAAGGGCCAATAATACTACACTGCCACTACATAAGGATGTAAGGGCAGCTATACAATTACACACATGCGTACAAGCAACGCACACGCATTTAATTTGCTCCTTTTGTTTGAAACTTAATGAAGGCCGTTTTCATTATAAATAGTTTGTAACCTTTCTACTCTTCAGCTCCATGAGCACCTGGGCAGAAGATGGGTGCTTTATAAATAAAAGTTCACTTCACTGAGATATACACAAACAACAGCATGCAGTTGGCATTTATACAGCACCTTTCCTCAGATGGCCTCAAAGTATAACACATTCACCACACCTCACCATGGGTAAGCGTTGTACCTCTTTTGCAGATGACTTAACTGAGATACATAGGGTATATCTGCGCTGCTGCTGGGATTGTGCTTCCCAACACAGGTAGGTAGACTCATGAGAGTTTGAGCCAGCATAGAGGGGAGAGCACAGGTGGCAGCTACGCTAGTCACCTGAATACATACCTAATGGGTCCAGGCAGGTTTGTACTCAGGCACCCAGCTTGACTCGCCATCCATGCTACACTGCTATTTTTAGCACATTAGCTCAAGCACAGCTAGTGCTTCTCTCTCTACCTGTGCTGGGAAGCACCTTCCCATCTTAAGTGTAGATGTACTCGCAGTACCAGATTGTGCCTGGCTCTTGAATGGGCGTGTAGGGCTGGGGAGGGTGCAAGGAATCCTTCCTCACATACTAGCATGACAAGGACAAGTGCAGTCCCAAATTTGGGGGAGCACAAGGATGGTTCTTTCTGTAGGTCCCCAGGGACATATGTTTCCCCCAAGGGCACAAGGAGATATGGGGAGGGGAAGGAGCCTTGGCCATGCACAGTGTGTGTATGTGTGGGATGGGGTACACTATGCCTTAGGATGGTGCAGCCTATACATTCCTTCTGTGTACCTGGGACCTCAGGGAAAACCTGGGATTCTCTGACACACAATCCCTTCCAGAGCTTCTGCCCAAGGTGGTGCAGAGCCACACTAAATCCTACACAGGCCTGTGCACAAAGAGGTTAAGTGACTTGTCCAAGGTTATGCAGCAAGTCAATGGAAGAAGTATGAACAGAACCTTCATGTTCTGACCATCAATTTCCTCCTGTAAACACTGGACCATATTTCTCCCCCACCACGTTCATAATTGGTTTACAGCTGTAAACGTAACAATTCATACAGTTAGGCTCAAGAGTGAATAGCAAATACACACTACTCATGAGGAGGTTCCTACATTCTTTTTCTGATTAGCAATTCCTTGTAATACCCATGCAATAGAAAACAAGCTGCTATGCTTCATAAAGAATGAACCCTCCACCTAAAGCTACAGGTCTCCAAAAATCAGATTCAGAAAACAAGACAGGTCATTTCAAGACAACATACTGCTTCAAGGAGCATTTAACATTCTCATTGCATGAATGGGCTGCATTCTTGAAAGGTGATAAAGAAGAAGAAATAAAATTCCTTAGAGATAGCAAAAGGAAAAAACAGGATATTGTTGGATGTTCTCTTGGTAATCAAGACAATATACTGGAAAACTATTCAAGGAATTAAATCCCTTATTTGGAATAAGAAGTTTTCTATTAATAATTAAATCTACTTAGCAACTATGTCAGATACAATGAAAACTTCCACCTAGTATTCAGTCTTTGTCAGCATTGCTAATCTGTTTTAATGCTGCTTACAGAACATAGTAACTCCCACTGCAGATAAATAAAGGGAAAGATCAAAAATGACCCGCAGAAAAGGTAAAAAGATACCAGCCCCCTTTTCCAGTGCTTCCTGTTGGAAAAGCAGCATAATATGTTAAATGCACCCACTCACCTCATTGCTCTGACAGGCACGTTAATAACCACCATGTACAAATTAACTGAATCCAGGTATCATTCTGCCCTTATGCTCTCACAAACTGACGTGACCAACATCCATTTGCTAACTAAACTGTCTGCAGTTCTCTGGATGCGGCATGCTTTGCTTCAGCTCTGGTTTGTTGACTAGCACACTACATTGTTTGCGATGAAGAAGAGAACAGAAGGCAATTGATACATACAGGGAACTATTTCTCTGGGGGAACTAATGAATTATTGAGCTTTTCTTCATTCCTGATTATATAGTGTTACAGTTCATTTTGATTATGCATGCTGATGCATCAAGGATAAATCCGGAATCTAGCCTCACACACCGTAATTAGTCATGTAATCTAATGTTCTGAGCACAAACCTGGATACCAGGAAATCCAATAGATCCTGTGGCATCCGTCACATCATAAATTCTCTGCTGCAGTTTCCCCTTTTCTCTACCTCATAGGGGTGTGGTAAGGAGCTAATGTGCAGAAATATTTACAGCTCTTTCATCTTCAGTTTGTATTTTTTAAATAGCAATTGCTTCCTCTCGTAGTTATTATTTACTCTTCTAAATATCTTGACCATTAGTCAGCCTATTCCGTGTAAGGTAATTTAAATAAATGACATGTTTATAACTGCAAAGCTAGTCAGGCAATCTCTCTGTACCTTAGTTTGTGCATCTGTAAAATAAGGATGAGGCTTACACATATTTGTAAAGTGCTTTGAGATCTATGGATTGAAAAGCTCTATACAAGATCTATAGGTAATCTCTCTGTGACTTAGTGCACCCATATCCAAATATAGATATACTACTGTACCTACCTCACAAGACATTGTGAGGCACAGTAAATCTTTGTGAAGTGCTCTGAGATTCTCAGATGATAGGTGCTATAAATGCAAGGTATTATCATGTATCCCAGTATACATACAATGCATTTAGTGACTAGTTAATGCTGTTGCACCTTAATAGCTAGATCACAATGTTCGCTGGCAGTGGTGAGTTGTTCAATGTGTCTGTCCACTTCTGCTACAGACAAACTGCAACTGCTCTTCTTCCTCCCGCAGACTACATTCTCCAGCCCCGTCAGCACTCTCTGCAGTTCGGAGTTCAAGTCACTACAGTTATCTATGAAAGAGAAAGAACATGTCACACATGCACTGGGTGTCACAAGCTAAAAAGCTACTACCATTGAATACTTTCAGCAAGACAGGCTCCACTCCTGTAAAATAGTATATTCCTACAGTCCGACACTGCTTTTCACAAATCTCCAGTCTTGAATACCATCAGCCTATTCGCACAAGTTATTGATTTCTCTTTACAAATCTCTAGGGTTGAATGCCATCAGCCTAAACTCTCAAATTACTCACAATCACACAAATAATTGCCTCGTCCACTTATCTGGAGTGGTCTTTCTTGTTTGAAAAACCTTCTCCACATTTTAAAGAGATCACGTTTTAGCACACTTCCATGTCACTGTCCCAATTTGCTTTTTTTTTGTTAATCTTTCTCATTACTGCAGCTTCTCCTGATCTTTGTGCTCAGCAAGAAGACTTTTCCCTCGGAATCAGAATGCTCTTCTGCCCAGTTCACTCAGTGATGATATAATCCAATCTCCTCTAAAAGGAAGGACTTTGGGGATTTGCGCTCAAACTGCTGCCAAGTGTCCAAAAGCTTACACAAAAACCCTAGAGAGATTATTTTACAGAGCTAAAATTTCATTTTCACAGCTGTTTCTTCTATGTGTGCAACTGAAGAGAAGACTGGAAATATTTATGGGTCCCCAATAACAACCCTTGTTCTTGTGAGGCTCCATATAGTGATCATATTCACTAGGTGCTTTACGATGAAAACATGATCATAATTCTCACAAGGAAAGGGCCAGAAGACCCTTCTCCACTGCAGTCTGACAGCACTGTTTTATCGGATGTCATCCACTCTCTCCCCAATTTTGTGACAACCAAATGATCCCTCTTACCTTGTGAACTAACTTTACAAATTAATTGCATCACCTCCAACTTACATTCAGTGATAAATATCAGCAGTAGTCCCTGATGTGCACCATGTAGTTGAACTCACTCTTGGGTTCTGATGCCTCTTGGCTGTATTCACTTATGGGCCATTAATTACCAAGGCATCGTGCAATAATCAGTTATTGCATTGTACAGCACACAATGGATTTATATTTCATGACAATGCATTATTTCCACAGGGGTACAAATATTAAAAGGGGTGGCATCCATTCATGAAATGTTATTCCTATGGTATTGCTCCACCTAGGACTTCATTACTGTCGGACCTTCCAATCAGATTTAAAACATATGGCTGGTGTTTTCAAAGGAGCCTAAGGGAGACAGGCATTCAAGTCCCACTGAAATTCAATGGGAGTTGAGCACCTAACTCCTTTAGTGCACTTTGAAAACCTGAATTTAAAACAAAGGATCACAGAAGCTGATTATGAAAGAGCGAGGTGTGAGGGAACAGGGGACTACTACAAAATAAATAACCTTAAGTTCATGACCAAAAACTCATCTACTTCTTCGATTAACACCGGACAAACTAACAAACCTGACCACCTAAATTACAGCCACAGATATGTAAAACACCAGACAACTGTATGCAATGCAAGGCTTGCCATGCACAAATTTTGTAGATGTAATTTAGACAGCCATTTAACAAAAATGGCCCAATTAACATTTAGGGGGAAATAAAAGCAACCATAAAACCAAAATACTTATGTCCAAATTCTTATGTGCCAGTGATGTTCTCATTCAGTTACACAGGCTTCGCATAGAAATTCAAATCAAGTTCAAGGTCTCAGTCCCTATCTTCAAGGTGGTTCCATGGCCTAGGCCCAGTCTATCTAAATGACCACCTAAAGCCCTGGGAGAACACCCTGGTCGACAACTATGCTCCTCTGGCACAATGGAACTCTCTAACCTATGGATGAAGCTTGTCTGTATCGGTGATGACCACAAGATAAGAACCCATATAGAACAGAATAGAATTCAAGACACAGACTCAATACTGTTACCATCTCAAAATTCAAAGGTAGCATTTGTTCCTTTGTGTTTAAATGACAGTAGCAGCAATCATGGGCCCTTGTCTTCATGCAGTATTTCCAGCTTTGCACAGGTTGATCAACAAAAGTGTTCAAAAATTCTCTTTGTGTAGGAATAGGATTGCAAAAGAATGCAGCCCTGGAGTGAATGTGAAATTACTGCAGGCAAAAGGGATTTCATGTTAAAAACAAACCCATCAACATATCAATGGCATGACAAATATGGATGGCCAAAGCAGGGTCTGCTCCTGCAACCTGTATGCATACAAAACTCCTACTGAAGTTGTATGTGCAAGAACTTCCCACAAGCTCCACTCTCCACCAAAACAATTAATATGCTTTAGTGTTAATAATCTGCCAAATAAGTTTATTTATTAACAAAATTCAATTCTGAGTCACAGATGCACCATCAAGAATGTTTAATTGTAAAATCTACTTGTTTTGCTTGTGCTCCTGAAACTCAATAATGCCTGTATATACATTTTGTCTCATTTTACAAAACATTTCCTTCAGAAGGAAATACCTTATATGCTAAGTTCTAGCCCTGAAGGAATGTTTCTCCCAGAAAATAAGAATTTATAACAATGTCAGATAGACCCACATTTCAAAGGGAAGCTAGTGTAAACCCACTCACAGGATTTACAAGATACAGCAGAGAAATTAACAATTTTAGCTCTTGATGTTTTTGTTGCCTACAGCAGAAGAGCAGCATATCTAAAAGCATTAGTGTATCATAACACATTGATGTAGTTGGCATGTCAATAAGCTTGCTGCATTCGTGCAGTATACAGTGCCATGTTATTATTAGGTCATGGTGATTAGCCTGATGTGCATAACTAACATAAGGGTTTATTTTTAAAGAGATACTAAAACTAAAATAAACAAAGGACAGAAGGATGCTTGCGTTGGTGTGTAGGAGGAATACCTTATAAGCTTACTATGAAAGTTAGTGATTTCGTGTAGCAATATTTTGTATTTCTACATTTGCTTGTTGTGCTGGAAATGTAAATGTCTCATCCTTGTATTATGGTATAAAAAACAGATCACTGTCCAGGATCAATGAAGTGGTAAAAGTAAAGAAATAACAAATATTGAAAAGTAAATTGGATTGTGAAAATTCTTTCAATCTGATTAATCTGAAGTATTATTAGTAACACAGGTAAAGAATATAGGCCAAACTTTTCAAATTTGGGCACCTAAACCTAGGCAACTAAATCCATATTTAGGCATAGGCACCCAAATTTAAAAAGTTTGCCTATCATTTTTTAAAATGGTGGTTCAAAATCTTGACCAGGACAATTGGTTGTAAATGGCTCTGTTTACTTGTAAGCCTTCCTGTGTTCCTGTGAGTCAGGCCGGAAAGAATGGAGACTTGGGGTCTCACAGGACATGTGACCATGTCACCTGGTACTGGAATCCATCTTAAACCTGGTGCTTTTCCATTTTGGGGGGGGGGGGTGACCCAGAGAGAGACAAAGGATTCCCGCCTTGTGCGAAAGATATAAAAGAGGGTGGAAAAGAACAAAGGGGGCTGCCAGTCATGAGAAATCCCCTAGTTACCACCTGAGCTGGAACTAACAAGAACTGTACCAGGGGAAAGGATTGGGCCCAGACTAAGAAGGAGTCTAGCCTGTGAAAGAAGTTTATTGGAACATCTCTGAGGGTGAGATTTACCTGTATTCAGTTTCTTAAAACGTATTAAGCTTAGACTTCCATGTTTTGTTTTATTTTGCTTGGTAACTTACTTTGTTCTGTCTGTTATTACTTGGAACCACTTAAATCCTACTTTTTATACTTAATAAAATTACTTTTGTTTATTAACCCAGAGTAAGTCATTAATACCTGGGGGGAGCAATACCTGCGTATCTCTCTATCAGTGTCATAGAGGGTGGACAATTTATGAGTTTACCCTGTATAAGCTTTATACAGAGTAAAACGGATTTATTTGTGGTTTGGATCCCATTGGGAACTGGGTGTCTGTGTGCTGGAGATAGGTAACCTGCTGAGTGGTTTTCTGTTAAAGTCAGCAGCCTTGGGGGCGTGGATCAGACCTGGGTCTGTGTTGCAGCAGACTAGTGTGTCTGGCTCAACAAGGCAGGGTTTTGGAGTCCCAAGCCATCAGGGAAAGCGGGCTCAGAGGTAATTCCAATACCATTTTTCTAATCTATAGCTCTGATTGGCTGAAACAGTAGCCAGTCTACACTGGAGTACTGATGTACATATAGGACATAATTTCTGTTCTCACTGGGTAAGTGAGCTACTGCAAAAGAAAAGAGTGAAATAAAAATATATTGTTAACTGAGTCTACACTGGGACACAAACATTACCCTCAGAGAAGCACATTCAATTGCCATTAAAAATCAGCGGAATTTTTACTGACTTCAGTGAGAGTGACACATGTTTATCTGAGGATAGAATTTGACCTTCTGTACGACTGTAACAAAAGTGCTTAGAAAACATCTCTGAGATGTTTTGATCTTTGTCTCTGCTTGGATCAGTCACATTGGACTTTGGATTTAGTGTAATTTTTTCATCAAGATTCAGCGCATCATGACTTTCCCAAGGCACGCTGGTGTCTGGTGATCACAGCTAATAAATACCTATGACAGAAGGAAGGAGGAACTACACTACAGCCAAGGATATGTCCCTGATTTACGCTGATGTGAATGAGAACAGAATCTGATCCAGTGAGACAGACATTTCCCCTCTAATATGCATATCAATGACGCTCCCAAGCTTGCGAAAAGCAGTGTGTCTACGTACTCCAATATTGGGCATCTTTATTGCTGGAGTCTGAGAACCGGATCTCTATAGCTAGTACTAACTACCCTTTAATTTCAGCTTTGAAATTCCCAATCTGAACACATCTGAAAAACAATATAATTACTGGACTCTTTTCCAAGAGAACCTTCCTTAACACTCCACAGCACAGGTAAGTGTATTCAGAAACTTGCCACCTGTACATAAATTAATGGCTCTCAGAAAGCAACAAGTCTTAAAAGTCATGGCCTGGAGAGGCACATTGCTCTGCCACTTATTAATGCCTCTAGATGCCTCTATTTCATCTCTGCAATTTCCAACCATCAAAATTTTATAGATAAATAAACTAGCAACATTTAAAAACAACCTTCAGTCACTTATAAATAAAATGTTTTTGCTATTTGGTAAAATAACAGAACAGGAACAGGAGTTAAAAAAAATCAATCCATCCAATTAATCAGCAAATTACATGATCAGGTCAGAACATGTATACTATTATAGAGGGGGGTGAGTGTGTGTGTGTCCCCTCCATTTTCCCTTTCCCCAAAGGGCACTCATTTAGGTGCTTCAGTTCTTCCTGACAAGCTCATTTTCTGTTCTTCCTCTGCAGCTATTATAGCTCTGATGGTCTGGGAGCAAGGTTCTGAGATTATTTTAAATGATACTGTTTATTCTCCTAGAGAATTCCTCAACACCTTTGGTTTGATTAACAAGGCTTGGATGATTTATTTTCTTTCCCCTCCAAGCATTCTGATCAGTATTTTAAAGGATGCAATGGCTTTCTACTAGTAAGTTTCAGAGTAACAGCAGTGTTAGTCTGTATTCGCAAAAAGAAAAGGAGTACTTGTGGCACCTTAGAGACTAACCAATTTATTTGAGCATAAGCTTTCGTGAGCTACAGCTCACTTCATCGGATGCATACTGTGAAAGTACAGAAAATCTTTTTATACACACAAACCATGAAAAAATGGGTGTTTACCACTACAAAGGTTTTCTCTCCCCCCACCCCACTCTCCTGCTGGTAACAGCTTATCTAAAGCTTATCTAAAGTGATCACTCTCCTTACAATGTGTATGATAATAACATCAGCCACACTATCAGAGGCTCGTTCACCTGCACATCCACCAATGTGATATATGCCATTATGTGCCAGCAATGCCCCTCTGCCATGTACATTGGTCAAACTGGACAGTCTCTACGTAAAAGAATAAATGGACACAAATCAGATGTCAAGAATTATAACATTCATAAACCAGTCGGAGAACACTTCAATCTCTCTGGTCACGCGATTACAGACATGAAAGTTGCGATATTACAACAGAAAAACTTCAAAACCAGACTCCAGCGAGAGACTGTTGAATTGGAATTCATTTGCAAATTGGATACAATTAACTTAGGCTTGAATAGAGACTGGGAGTGGCTAAGTCATTATGCAAGGTAACCTATTTCCCCTATTTTTTCCTACCCTCCCCCCAGACGTTCTTGTTAAACCCTGAATTTGTGCTGGAAATGGCCCACCTTGATTATCATAGACATTGTAAGGAGAGTGATCGCTTTAGATAAGCTATTACCAACAGGAGAGTGGGTTTGTGTGTGTGGAAAAAAAAAAGGGGAGGGGGGGGAAGAACCTGGATTTGTGCTGGAAATGGCCCACCTTGATTATCATACACATTGTAAGAAGAGTGATCACTTGAGATAAGCTATTACCAGCAGGAGAGTGGGGTGGGGGGAGAGAAAACCTTTTGTAGAGGTAAACACCCATTTTTTCATGGTGTGTGTGTATAAAAAGATCTTCTGTACTTTCCACAGTATGCATGCGATGAAGTGAGCTGTAGCTCACGAAAGCTTATGCTCAAATAAATTGGTTAGTCTCTAAGGTGCCACAAGTACTCCTTTTCTTTTTACTAGTAGAAGACATCCTGTCTTTTCAGAAAAATCACTAACCCATGTCAGCAGTGACCATAGTGGACTGGTTCTCTGGTACTGAAACAGAAGTCTGATCCTGGTCCATGCTGCGTGAATCTTCATTAGCCTCATGCTGGCTCTGGCTGAGCTCTGATCGTAGTTCGGAATATTCATCTTCCTCCCTGGGGGAGAGGCACAAGAAAAAAATATTATTGAAGGAATAAGTAACTCTACAGCACGCCTTTCAGTCCTGTAGTCACAATAAGTAGGGTACACACTGGACAACAAACTTTCTCCAGCTCAACAAGACTATCAAATGGACCAGGGTATGCTTCCCATAAAACAAACTGACTTTCTGCATTGTACTCTCAACTGCCAGTTATGTAGTGGGTAGCATCTGGCTCGCATTTCTGTATTTTGAAGTTTCACCAAAGTTCTTGTGATCATTCCAGACTAATGTTCACTATAAGAAAATGTATTGCCAGATTAAGTGTGTGTGTCTCTCTCGCTCTCTAAAGTCTCCTGTTGCCAAATGGGTTTTTATTTGAAATCTATTGAAAAATAATGTACAGATTAATTAGAATGGCAGTGAACTGCTGGAGTTACTGGAAAACAAAACCCTTGCATATTACATACACTCACTCTTATTTGTCAAGCGGGTTCCTTCAAAAATGTTTGAGCGATATTGGGCATTACCTGAAGTAGTGAGATTTATAAAAGGAGTCTCTTCTCCCTACTTTCACACCTAAAGTTCAAGGAATGGGGAGAAGCAGATAAGGAAAGTGGTGGAATGTGAAATCACAGTGCCCAATGAAGCACTTTAAAATGTTTCTTTTCTTTTTTCAATCCGTTTGCTAATCTGACTCAAAAAATGAGATTCAGGAAGACCTGATTTTTTTAATCAGCTTCAGTTTTCTGTAATTATTATTTTGTCACTTTCAGATATGCACATTTTAACCAGCTCGAAAAACAGCAGTAGCATAGGCACAGAAACAACAAATCAAAAACTTCTGATGAGTGAATTTACTGTACCCCTATTTGGCTACTCACAAGTAAAGTATTTTGTAGAGGTTTATTTTGCTGCTGTTTCATCAGAGAGGTGGATGATTTTAGGGTGGGGAGGAAGCATAGAGCAGGAATGGAGTTCTTTGGTGAGGGAGGGAGAGCACAGAACTGTGAGGGTACCTCCAGCTGGGTGGAAGCCTGTTGTCTAAGGGGGTAGTTCTGCAAAGTAATGAGCACTTTCTACTTCCATTGAAGTTGGTGGGAGTTGAGAGCTCTCAGTACCTTGCAGGAATTAGCCCTAAGGTTTGACAATGTCTGTCGGGCAAAATAGCTGAAAGGAAGATGATCCACACGTATCACAACACTGACTGAAGGAAAGGTTGCTGTCTGTGAAACAGGCCAACTCATAAGAAAAATTCCGGCTTGTTTGCCAAGCAGCGTTTCCTTAGCTTACCCACTGTAGTTTTAATAGGAATGATCACACTTTCCTAACCCTGAAAGGCAACTCAGCTCACTACAGAAAGTTACATCTTTATCACAAGCACTTAGCAACTATTATACAAAAATTAAGATTCTAAGGTTAAAATTAAATTTTAGATCAAAGCAAGGTGTTTTAGGTGATGGGCAATACATATTTAAAGCAAGTGGGAGAACCAAACCAAAAACAGCATGAATTAAAATACAGGCTACTGAAGACACATAAATTGTGGGTTAATGTTCTATGAATAAGTTAATTATTAGGCACAGCACACGCCAATGATAATTAGTAATTGTTTTTGTCCAAAACTAAGTGCTCAAAGAGTTGCTTTTTCTTTTGGTCAAAAGGATAATTTGTTTGTTCATTTATACATTAACCTGCTTTGCAATTAGTGATTCATTTTAAAATGTGAATCTCCTCCATGAATGGATGACAGGCTGACCGGATCATAAAACCAACTGCTTGTCTACACATGCTAATCAGCTCTGACTTTCTCCACTTTCAGACTCAGACTAGTTTTCTTGTTTAAATGACAATGGCTAAGATTGACAAATTTACCTTTGATTGTTTGAGCCAAATTTTCCAAAATTTGCCCCTTGAAACATGCATGCAAAACATGCCTCTTTACAAACATGTAACTCCACATTCAAAATAGGAAATATTTTTTGAATAGCAAACGCAGATGGTAAATTACCCACTTTGTACACATAACAGCATATTTTATATGTGCAATTTACCTTTTCTACCCGAGGTATTTGAAGAGCACGAATCAGTGCAGCATCTTTTATATATGCTTATATTTTGTGTACACAACTAAGGTGCCGATTTTTGAAAACACGGGTTTTCTAGTTCTGCAGCTGTTCAAAGGCAACGCAAAATCTCTCTCTTCCATCCTCTTCCCTTCCCTTTTAGAACACAAAAGCGGTGCTGATTTCAATAGGACTTAGAGGTGCAATAGCTACACACTAAAACAGAATGTTTAAAAATGGATTAAAAGTAACAAAAGGTACTGGGCCAGATCGTTCTGTGCAATGAAGCAGTTTTGTGTCGCTCTAGTGGTACGAAACTGTTTTAAAGCCTGCTTAGTAATGATCAAAATGGCAAACTCTCAGCACCTCCTCCTCCCCATTGAGGAATTCTGGTGGGGTGTTGTCAAGGTGTGTACACAGAGATTCTTTCATAGCTTCAACCAGAGAATGCTTTCACCACAGTGGGTGTTGGCCGTTTTTCAACTTTCATTATATTTTAATGAATGTTTTGTAAAACATGGGAGATCCTCAGACAAAAGACACTATGAGTGCCAACCATTATTAATTTTTATGATGCTGTCCACTATACTATCTATTCTGTCTCCCTTTCCCCCCCCCCTAGGTTTCTAGGTGACCCATATTTCTATATGAATTTTCTGTTGGGTAATGCACCGAATTCATGGCCGCACAGCATTTACTTACAAATGGTTGACTGGTTAGATTGTATGTCTTTTGACAGCTGCTAAGAATCCTAAGCGGACATCAGCAGGCAAGAAAGTCCATAAGCTGCACAGACCTATTTCAGCATTGAGATGAAAGACAACTCACTCTCTCTCTTCCCACCCCCCCACCCCCAATTCTTTTGCTGAACTCACAGACAAACTGGAAAGACTGTATGTAGCTGATTCTGTTCTCAATCACATGGCAATATTTATTTTTGTATCATTGCATGAAAAATGCATTTCCTTACTGAAGCCATGATTAAAAAATAAATAAAATCTTGTGTTAGGGTGAACTTTTCTTGGCCAGTAACATTCACTTTCAAAACAGATACAGTATTATCTCATGTTTTATTATTTAGTTTGGGACCTTCTTTGTTCTTGAGAGGTTGATCTTGTTAGGGTGTTACTGACACACCCTAATATGTATGTGTTTTTAATACACTGATACTGCTGTTTCATGTGTACCTACCCACTTGACCGGCTTTGCCTTTTTGTGACTTGTGCAAACCAATGGATGGGCAGCAGTTCAGGAAAAGAGAGTTAATGAATGTATCAAAGTCTTCTGTGAATGGAAGGAATATAGGCTGGTGATAATTTTACCTGCCTACTTCCAAATGATAGGTAACAGGGGCTCAGAGCTATGATGCTGCAGTGAAGAAAATTCACATTGAAGAGTATGGAAAGATATTCTGCATCTTTCCTGCATAAATACACAGAGTTTCAGATGAAACAATCTTACTCTGAATTGGACTTAAACCTGTGACTTGAGTTCTGCAAATTTGACCAAACTACATTCACACTACGAGAAAGAAAGATTAGACTTTGAAACAGTGCTCTTGTGTTCTTAGCAAAGTTTTAAACAGGGTAGTCTCCCATCTGAGCCTTGGATTTCTTAGGGACCCACTAAAGCCTCACTGTTTGAGAAACTCTTAGATAATGCAAACAGAGCCAACATTTCTATTTTTGACTATATAAAAGAAAGGAATTTATTGTCTCTCTCAGCAAGCTACCTTCTTAACTGCTCTACTTCCCTCAAATTACAAACTATTTCTTACGATCTGGTGGTGGGGAAATGATATATCAATCCCCCTTCAGAAACTAAGCAAGGCTCAACATTATATGAGTTCAGACATCTCTCTTCCAGACCAAATACCAAATTGGTTGCAGCTGTATTTCAGTTTCCTCTTTTTTTGGTTGGATTCCCAAGCCAGCTGAGCTGTCTCGAACTACAGCAACATCAGTGAGACAAGACAATTAGGAATGATTGTTGGCTTGATCCCATAACCACTGTGACTTCATTTGCATCAGGAGTGTTGGCAGAACATAATGCAGTATCAACAGCTAGCTTCATGCGGCCATGCATCTGGAACTTGCTGTACCCTATAAAGGCCTGTCAAATCCAGAAGTTTATTGGAAATATCTAAAAATATTTCCTACAATAACTATTACTAAGAACAACACTGTGTCCCTCACGTCTGAGAAGAGGTGCAGCCATGGCACTTGATCTGACATCTCTGCAGCTGGGCTTGCTGAACAATGCGTGAACCATAATTCTGCAACTTCCTGAAACCATTCGCCCTCACCTTCCAAAGTGTTTGAAAAAAGCAATCTCTTCTAAATAAAAAACATAAATTAGCTTATGCAATCTGTCAAACTCTCTTATATCTGTTGCAATGGTTTGTTTAGACTGAAAATCTTGTTCTGCTCTGCATTGCTAACCTCAAAACAACAGCAACAATTTAAAGACTCTAAATTAGATGATCAAATTTACTGTGTAACTTTGGTTTCTCTTGACCATCTACATAATATTATGGTTTTATAAAGGGAAGCATTAAGAATGGCATAAAGCAACAGTAAATCAAGCCTTCTATACTACGTCCGCTATAAGGTGCGGATGCCATACAACTTTTCCATGGCAGCACCAGGGAGATGCATTTCTTTGCCCTGTGATTCAGCAGATTTAAGTAACTGCTTTCCAAATCATGGCCTGACAATCTTGCGATTTCACGAGTAATGTCTCATCTTTCTGTGCACACGCTGTTGCATGTCCACACTATGCTCCTTGTGTGGGCAGAGTGCATCCACACTAGCAGCTCTTGCATCGACAGAGAGAGCAGGGCACTGTGGGTAGCTATCCCTCTGTGCAACTGGCCGCAGGGTGCTTTGGGAAGGATTTGCAATGCCTCATATGGCAGGTACAGTGTCACATGATACTGGTTTCTCAATCG